GTTAAGCCCTTTGAAATTTGTGCCTTTTCCCACGAAGCCTGGCATTAGGTGGTTTTTGCTTTGTGATCTGGCAAAGCTCAGGAGGAGTTTGCTTGGCATTTCAAACTGGCTCTACAATATACGATTGACAGTGCCCGCCTTTAGTGAGACAACAACATGAACCCTTCCTACACGTGACATACGACGCACCCCCCCCTCAGTGGACAGTCATTAATCTGTTCTTCCCTTTGGAGAAACATGGTGGCTGTTATGTAGGTGGCACATTTCTCTCAAATTACCCACACAAAATGGTTTCTGAATATCAAATCTGAGGCAAGAGATGAACTGTTTGGTTTGTGTTGTATTGTAGATTTTCAAGATAAAATAGTTTCAAATGTCAAAGGCAAAAGTCCTCATTTTAACAATTCTCAGTAGTTCAATGATTAGTCCTACTCATGCTGTCAAACTAATTCTGACTTGATGTCCTGTGTACAAATAGGAGAGCTTATGAGTTGTAGCCTGAGTAAGACTGTAAACGGCATCAAAAAATGTCCAAATGTAGCCATTTTTTCATTAGGCTAAGGGCACAACGGTCAGCATCAAGCTTAAAATGAACTGTACATCAATATATGTTAAATTTAGTGAGGTAGAGGCCCCCGTCCATCAATCTATCCTATTAATCCTGAACTCACTAAAGAACAGTGCTCCTTTGGTTAGTAAAAGTGTGACAAGCCCTTTACTGTCTCATTATAATGTAAAAACACTCAACCATATGGTAATATCAAATGCAACCACGGTGGTTGTATATTAAAAATATAAGACCGTATATACAAGCATACATATTCTGTACAGTATTGAACAGAATGTCATGTTGACTTCTGTGGATCAGCCATGAACCTAGTACTATTCATTAAAGTGAATGAGGAAAATCAGTCCTTTAAGGAGAAGGCTCTACTGGACTTGCATCCTGAGGTAATTATCTGTGACGACACAGTACATTTCATTCAGACAAAAGCCAAGGTCAGCAGTACTGTAATGTATTAAAGCCAGTTTTAATCTCTGTCACTGTCCTCCTCTTAGCCTGACTGATGTTTTTTTTATACACAGATGACTTTGTATTGTCCTACAAATATCCAGCAGCAGAAAAAAGTAGCGTAAAATCATCAGTTGAAATTTTTTAGAAGTGACCACATAGTCAAGAGCTGAAGTTTTCAGCTGAGCCAGGGACCATACTGTAGCTGAGGACCACTGTTGTGCAGTGGAAAGACTGAATGAGCACAATTTTAATCTTGAAAGTCACCTTAGCTGTTCTGACTCATATATTTGCATGAATTTCATTATTCACAAATTGTAATTAATACATGGGAATATGTTTAAAAAAAATACAATAAAATACATTGTCATTCCCATAGGTAAATTTCATTCTTGAATGCATGGGCTTGGACCACCTGCAATGCCTTCATGGACCACCAGGGGGCCACAGACCACAGGTTGAAAACCCCTGGTCAAAAGGTTTACTCATGATAACAGTTTACCAAGGATGAGAGTGATGTACATATACAAAAATGCTTGGCATTTCTCAAAAATTTCATCTTCAGAATAGATTCCTTACTACTCTTCAACAGCAAAACAACTCACTCAGCATTACTAGTAACATCTACACAATAAACAGTTCTCACACCTGTAAAGTTTATTTAGTAACAGAGAAAGAGCTTTGATTGACAACATATTGTAAAACAATTCTTATAATATATAGATAATCCATTATCAACAAATGATTAGGAGTTATGGATGAACAAAATTTCTGTGAATAGATCCAGCATAGATAGATGCCCGATTCCACCACTATAGTAAACTATGGTTTACTATAGTGGTGGAATAGTGGTGGAATTGAACCAGCTTGATGGAACTACAAATCAACCTATATACAGTGCTTGGAAGAGACATTTAAGATTTAAAAGGCATTTAACATAACATTAATATTTTTGTGCCTATGCTAGATGTGAATTAGGAAGGGCATCCGGCATAAAACACGTGCCAAATGTCAACATGCGAGTTGTCAGTGTGACGATTCGGCGACCCCTAAAACGGGAAAAGCCGAAAGTGACTTTCCTTCCTATGCTAGATGTGAATTACAGTAATTCCTACATCACTGTTTGAGATTTAGGACACTTGGAAATCATTGTCATTTGTATCATCACTGACAGGTGTCGTGTCACAGGGCTGTAAATTTCAATGCAACTGTGAGATTGCTAGCATAAGGTATTATACATGCCATGGACATTGCTCATTTCATTCCATTGTGGACATTTTTGAGAGCACTATGTAGTGCAAAAATCTAACATTGAGAATTCAAACTCAACTAAAATATAATACACTATGTACCTAAACAGAGAGTGATTTGGGCACAGATGCAGTGGAACAATTATGTATAGTAATGAAGCAAAATCAGATGAACAGTGTGTACAGAAGGTCAACATTCAGTACAAATCTAAATCATAGAAGTGTTTTGTCTGTTCAATAAAATCAAACATAGTTTTATAAAGGTGAAGTAGAACTTTTTCTTCCTGGTGCTTCAGAAGTAGAATATCGGCAGTCAGCGCTCTGGGAGAACCTGTCAGGAAGGGTTAGCCTCCAGTCTGGACTGAACTAGGTCAATGGTGAACCAGCCTTCATTTGTATGCAAATTCATGTAGATTTTGCTGCTGATAAGGTTGGTTGGCTCTTGAGGCCTGAGTGGGTTACAGGCACAGAAGATCCAGGACAAAGTTTATATTCATCTTCATGTCCTGCTCAACCTGGAGTCTTTTGTTTTCTAACCTTTATTCTCTGGGGAAGGTTACTTGAGCATTGTGCTCTTTCTCTGCATCTTTCTTTTAATGTTCCACTCGGTCACACTTCCAGCTAACCTGTATAACCTCAGACATCTACTGGCGGTTACTCAGAAGGCCTGCAGCAGCAGTCGGGGGTTAATTGTCTTACCCAAATACACACTGACGGTGGGTTTTCAGGAAAAGGAGCACATTATTCTCCCACCTGCTGTGGGGACTCAAAATCTGTGACTCTTAGATAAATGGATACTTCTGTAGTTCCACGGAAACTGAACTTAAACAAAGCCGGGAAAAAGCAAACATAACACATTAACATGCTTCATCACCCAAGCTAATGTTGTCTATCCAAGTGATCACTGAGTGTTTCCATGCACACAGTATTCAGGATACTAGTTCATTTCCTGGTCACCACAGTTCTGATCAGATTTGCGTATACTTGTGAAAACAGCACCAGCAGGGTTTGTTAGAGTAAATGTTGTCTTACTGAATGCCTCCCTCCTCTGGAGCTGTCACTGCCATTTGACCTTTAAAATAAACCATCTCTACTTTTCACTGAGCAAGTAATGTATTACAAAAACATTGATGTTACCATGGAAACAGAATTTGGGTTATAAAGGTTTTGCAGTCATAACTTCAATTTTTTTTTTACATGTACTGTCATTCAGTACTTCATGAACAGAAGGAAATATGACTGGGTTTCTTTTACCACATTCACCCTCTTAGCCAGTTTCCATTTATTTTTCATAAATTTCACCTTTAGTTACTGTAGTTGCATTTTTACTAATGTTTGTGGAATTTTAAATGAGCCTTTTTTTACTTTTAGAACACAAGCTGAAGTTCCGGCTACACTTTGGCTCTATAGCTGTCTCTCAAATCAGGGGCTGCATCCATCGAAGGACATGGTCTACGAAGGCATGGCCTAGGTAGCCATCATATACCGCGAAGACCGAACTGAAATGAGAATTCTGGTCTGCAGAGGATTTCCTATTTACGTTACCAGCTGTTCCTGCCCCTACCAATGCATAAGTTGCTTAGCAACCTTGACAGTTGATCTACTCTCTACCAGCTCACAAAGATTCTTGGGATAGGATGGGCAACAAAGGATCCACTAGTTGGAGCCTTTGTGGAAAGAAGGAAACACGTCTGGGCTACATGTGAATGAGCCTGTGAAATGGGATGTCTTGTTGTAGCACTGTGATGCAGTTCTTCTTCGAATTCAGCATTTGAAGGATGCGTCCCCTGAATGGGGACACAGCTTATAGCAGGATATGCCTATGACCTTGTCAGCGTTTCCTGATGAAATCAACTAAAACAGTTAATACTTCCACTTTTGTAGTAGTAATACCAGAATATTCTAGTATTATAGGTGTAATGACCTACATTTGCCTGCATTTAGAAACCAAGGTATATATTATGGCTTTTACACAACATGTTTGTACTTTATAAAAGGTTTTCTTGTATACATACAAGAATAAAAATGTGCTTATTGGTTATGAGAAACTCGGTATGTAGATTGTAACAATCCACCCCTCTGAGCCTATTATCTGCTCAAGCTAACAAATTTAGATTTCACCCACCAGGACCTCCCCCATCCATCTGTCGGCATACACATCTTCCAGCCGAATTGGGGACGTGTGAATCCCACACTCCATCAAGCATGACAGCTTGTAGATTACATTCCAGACAGCTCCACAAGACTTCTTCATTACCTCCACATCAAACCCCAAATTAGCTGAACAGATCAGCAGTGGAGCGCTGGACATCCACACTCATTTCTCAAGCATGGAGCACTGCTCTTACATGTACTGTTTTGTGTCCATCAGAAAGTGAGTATCCTGCCAAAATATCTGTGACGAAGATATCGAATCCTTAGGAGCTTATTCATTTCAAGTGGTTCCTCGATAAGGGCTGAATAAAACACATATTAATTAAACATATTCAAGTCAAATTGGCTGTCTCATTTAGCTCTGCCACACTCCACCTGATGTACATCTGTCTGGTTATACATACATAATTGACTGATATTAGTGATCTTTGATGTCTAGTTTACAGAATGACCAAACAGATTTCCCCCCTTTTTCCTCCTTTTTTATCTCTTTCGCAGGCCTACTCTGTCTATGATGAGGAAATTGGTTATTGTCCGGGTCAGTCATTCCTTGCTGCTGTTCTCCTGCTACACGTGAGTAAGCTTGTCACCCATCGACCTTTAATGCTGCTGCAGACTGTGTTTTAGGACAGCAGTCAAACAGAATTTCAAGGTTAACACTTTAACAAAGAAAATTTGTCAGCATCGTGCTGCTGCATCTACACCTCACTGTCTCTACATAAACCAAGTCTGTTAGCATTTTCAAAGTGTGCTAAAGCAAGACAATATAACAGCTTCAATGGAGGCTGAGAGGGAGATAGAAAGAATGTCACTGGCTGAAAAGAAAGTTGCTGAGTGCTCAAATGAAAACTGTTTATAGCAGAATGATTTGGATGAATAGAGGGGGTGAGAGAGTGTGAAATAAGGTATAGCTGAAAGCACGAGACACTGTCATTGCAGAAAAAATATGAGGAATGGACAAGGCACTCATTCATTCCCACACATTTATTTTCAAGGTCACTGGCAGACACACACTTTTTTATTACATTTTTATTACATTACTTAGTTTGTTGTGCATGTGTTGCAACACCCAAAATGTTATTTGACATAGGTAATAAAAGACAGATGGAGGAGGGACAGAGCTGTAGACACATGGAGGCTTGAGTGGAGAGAGAGAGTGAAGTTGAAATGACAAAGGCAGGAGAAGTAAAAGAGGAGAAACGATGGGGGAGTGGAGAGGAGGGCAGTGGTCAGGAGGAGGTGGAGTAAGAAATGCTGTGGATGAGTCTGGCAAATGGTAAATGTTCTTGTACTTGTATAGTGCTTTTCTATGCATTACAGCACTCTCAGAACGCTTTCACACTATTTGCCCATTCACTCATTCGCACTCACACATTCACACACACGCACACACATTGGTGAAGACACATGATGTACAGAGGTGAAGAGGGAGGAAAATAAGAGGAAATTATGTAGAAGTAGGCTGTAAAGCCGAGGAGTAAGAGAAGAAATAAAGGGGACAGCTGCAGAAGAAGAAAGAGTGGTTATACAGGAAGAGGCAGGTGGATTATAGAGAGAGAGGGAGAGAGAGGGAGAAGGGAGAGGTTATGGAGGAGATGTCAGGAATATTAATAGGGGTTTAGGTTTACCTGCAGGAGCCCATTCAGCCCCAAACACACACTGTCACTCTGATTAAATATCAGCTCACTGTCTGCAATTGTGTATGCGAGAAGAAATAAACCCATATACCCTCACAGACACACACTTTTAGGCTTTTTCTAATACCTCTTATCTTCATTCATCCATGCAACACACAAACACTGATGCAGTAAAGTGCTCACACATACAGTAAAAGCACATTTCTGTAGGCATTATTGCAAACAGCTTGAAGTCTTTGCCCTAAACTTAGTTACACCTTCACTTTCCTCTTCTGTCCTTGTGTTTATTTTCAGCCAGTCAGAAAAAAAGTGTGCCAGTTGTTTTCCATTTATTTCAAGGAACAAATGGGTGGGGTTTACCAAAAACTAAATAAAATGTGACCCTGCTTTGGTAGTATCAGAGAGGGCATCAGCACCTTACAACCAGGTGATGAATGAATCTGTTTCTTGTCTTGAAAACTGTGTTCGCCAAATGTATTGCAGAGCTTCACAGTACCTTGTTAACATTGTGGCACTGTATATATTTTGGACAGTGAGTTGTTTAAAGTTGCCTGTGTGGTTTTCAGATGCCAGAGGAGCAGGCCTTTTGTGTGTTGGTGAAAATCATGTACGAGTATGGCCTCAGAACTCTCTACAGAAACAACTTTGAGGATCTTCACTGCAAGTTCTACCAGCTGGAGAGGCTAATGCAGGTCAGTGATGAAGTGCTTTCCATGTTTTGAAATGTATTGAAATACACTGTACTGGAAAGTGACCTAACATTGAGAGGACCATCCTGCCTAGATGGTCGGACAGTCAGTTGGATGAAATAGAATTGCAAAGTGACTGTGGCCCCAGTTTCCGGAGGTGTTTTCCTACATTCAGTATTAAGTTTTCAGTTTATTCTTTAAAGAATATACTGGTTAATCTTTCTCTTTTCTTTGTTCATTCATCACGTTTCTTCAGACACTTCTGTCTGAAGTTGACATGATGAATCTCACCACTTACAGCTTAAAATTTTAAATGTTAATTGGTCACCTTATCTACATCATAAGTTTAAATGCCATGAAATTCATTTCACATATCCATTTATCTTTGCTGTACAGACTAGTCTCTAGATTTGATTTTCCAACATTTTAACTTTTTTGAAATGATGGTTCCTTGGGCTGTTTTATTTAAATACTAATTGAATGCAGGGTTTGTACCATGAACCAATGCTCAGTGAGACTAAAAAGAAAGGACTAGCAGACGTTCATTTGCATCTTCCATGACAGTGTGATTATAGTTAATTTTGCTGAGAATGTTACCAGCGATTGCATCATCTATGGATGTCATGTTTGTTGTTGCCTTGTTCACTCATTGTTCCTGATCAGAAAATATAATAGAATATCAGACAAACTAATTCAAGTCTGAGTATATTAGACTTGTAGTTTCTGTAGTGTTCTTTCTGTGTGTTGAGGCTGGTGTAAAGTCCCATCCCACTAAGGTATTACAGCCTAAATCCACTCAGTGAGTAGGGTTTAATTTGGCCCTGAAATCCATCCTGGTCCTGCTAGCAGTCATCTCAGCATCAGAATCAACTCTGTTAGCATTGACCTACAGTAATGCGTTCAGAGTAAAGATGTTAGCATTGACTGCTAATTATTAGCATATAGGTGGGAGCTCACTATCTGATCGAGTCAGGTGTCATGTGGCATGGTAAGTGTTGGCTGCTATCTAGCTAATTGAATCCTTTATTTATATGTTTATTTAACACACACAAAAAGTTGCATCTTTCTATAGTTGTGGGGACACTCACAGCCTTAACCATCACAACTAAATGCCTAACCCGAAGGTACAGTAATTCTAACACTTAACCCTAAAACCAAATCTTAACCCTCAAAAAGTCTTCTGAAATTGTAAGGACCGGCTAAAATTCACATTGCCAAAATGATCTCACAACAGTGGCATTGCACAACAATTTGCACACACAATGTAATAAAGACATACATACACCCACATACTTCCTCTCCATCCCCCAAACAGAAGTCGGCTATATAAAACAGAAAAGTATATGAAACTGAAAAAGTTGAATGAATGATTTGAAGAATTTTCTTATATTCATTAAATTTTAAAATGCATAAACTGTGATAAAAACATTAGTGATGATGTATTATGGTGCTCCTACTTTGTTCACTATATGAAACAGATGCTAGACTACAAAGTTAGAATCGCTCGTCCTCATTACAGATTTTTAACTGGCAAATGTTGTGAATGTGTTTGCTTTTCTAATATAGTATCTGTAATGTATGAGTAATGTCTCCAACATGCTACTAAACTGTGTTATGTCTAACTTTATTTCATCTGAAAGAGATCATCAGTCTCTGTGAGACAGCATGAGTTAATAAAGTTGAATAAGATGAAATAATGTAAAAGTGAAACGACAAGCTGTTGTTTTACCTCATAAGTTTCTCCTTTCTCCTGCTCATTCTCCTCTTCCTCTGTCTGTTTCTCCAGGAACAAATTCCAGACCTGTGGTCCCACTTCCAGGAGTTAAACCTGGAGGCTCACATGTACGCCTCCCAGTGGTTCCTCACCCTCTTCACTGCCAAGTTCCCCCTGTGCATGGTTTTCCACATCACTGACCTGCTACTCTGTGAGGTACAGTTTGACTTACTAGGAGTGCTGGAAGAGTTATTTAGACCCCGTTGTCTTGAGGCCACCAAGGAAAGAGTCGACCCTCGGGAAAGATAGCAGTAGTAGTAAGGAGGTAATAAATGATGTTGTGAGCAAAGCAGAGCTGTGGTGGAGGAGGACAATATGAAGTTAAGAGGGAAGATGGCAACCATTAAGGCAGGAGGAAGGAGACAAGAAGAGGCTGGAAAGTGAGGGATGAAGAGATGCCAGTGGGATGAAGTTTACCTCTACTGACCAGCTATCAGTGACCACAAGTCAAGGAGGGCACTCAAGGGAAAGATACACCAGTAACAGCATTGATCCATCTGCATTCTGCCCTTCAGTCTACCAGATTAATCAATACAGATGCAATGATTAGGTTTTTATGACTCCACACTGGCGATAGCCATGGCCAGAGGCATTAAGTTCTCGGGCTATTTGTCCGGCACATTCTTGTGAATGTAATGTCTCAAGAATGCCTTAAGGGAATGCCTTCATATTTGGCACAAATGTGCACTTGGACTCAAGGCTGAACTGATTAGATATTTGTGGTCAAAAGTCAAAGTCAGTGACTGTGCCATTCCTCTAATTTGACTGGTTGAGAGAGGAATACAACTGCTAAGCAGTAATTCTAGTTTATGGTTAATACAGTAACTGATTGAATGTTATTAGGATCTCTGAACTGATAGTCACTGGTTACCTTTCATTCTAAAGAAACAATCTCCTCTGCACAGACCCTGCAAAACCCACCAGTTTACCTGTTGTCACTTACCCATGGCATTTTCTAATTTGACTCACTATTCTAAAATATTAATGTAGAGGATATACTATGATCATTTCCATAAAACAGTAGTCATGTTAAATATCCTCTGTGCTTCCTCCCTCCTCCACCTGTATTTCTTTTTCTGCCCTCCTCCACCACTTTTTTTCCTGCCTCCCTCCCTGTCTCTGTCCTCCTATTGGCCCCAGGCAGAACAATTGAATGTTTCCAGGTTTTCCTCACTCAATGAACCCCATGATGAGAATCTGCTCGTTAAACCAGAATTCTCATCTCCCGCATCTTCCTCTGTCGTCCCTCCTCTTCTGGTCTCTTATCAGTTTTTCACACTCCCTTATTGCTTACTCTATCATCTTTTCTTTTTCCTTGTTTACTGTTTGCCAGTTTTCTCAACAGACATTTACATTTTTAGTTCTTTTATTCTGTTTTTGTTCTTTATTTTTTTTTCTAGATTGCAGTTATGTTTCACTCTCTTGACCAGTTTAGTTTGCTCCTCATTTATATTTTATGGCATTCTTTTATTTTCTGCTTTTTGTTCATCTTTGTTCTCTGTCCTTGTTCCTTTTGTCAGGTTTTTTCTATTCCTTTTATTAATCACTCTCTTCACACTTCCTCAGTCTCAGTTAGTCTCCCCATAAAGTTAACTATAATAATGTCTTTTACTTTTTCCCCTCAAGTACACTTTCCCTCCCAGCAAATGATTTTTTGTATCATTCAACTTCTTTGTACTACTTCATAGCTAGGCATAGTGAGTCAGTAGCTACTGGACCTTTTTGTCTTGTGCTCATGTCTTGATTGCTTGAGCTTTCTTTTTAGGTCAAGTTTAAAAATGATCATGTAGTCTTAATGCTTCACTTCTGCCTAGACCAGTTAGCATCCTTCCCATTCTTTGTCATCAGTTTTCCTCTCCCTTTCTCCTCATGAATTTTCCTTTTGTTCGGATGCACACGTGCTGAGATTCTTTCTTTCCTCAGCACTGTAGTGCCATCTTGAGGCTGGCAAATATAGTTGTGTGAAGGCAGAGCTCCCTGTCTTTTCTCTTTGTGCAGTTATTTTTAGAGCTGTCCAGATATTTTTAGCTCTGTGTTGCCATGTGGACTGGTTATTACAGAGACCATGAAGACAGGTGTTCCCCCTGCAGAGCTGGCATCAGCATGAGGTTTTCTGTGTCAAACACACAATTATGATATAAACAAAAGAGGAAGAACGAAGCTTTGCATTCTAACATTCCATTGCATTCTTACATATATTAGTGAATAGAACTAAACCTTAATGTAATAATCTGCTCCACTCTATACCTTTTTTGTTACGGTAGTCTGTGATTTATATAGAAACATAACATAATGTGATTTTTTGTTTTGCCTTAACCTCTGTTCCTGCTCTGTCCTGTAAAACATGTCATTTGACTCAGAGGCATCACGAAGAGTTCCTACAGTATATTTTTACATTTAAGCCTTAAACAGTTAAAGCAAGTAAAATATCATGTACAATAAAATAGACATGTTTGAATTTCAGTCTAGACAAATCTAGACTCTCAAGCGTCTGATATTTTATCAAACACAGGATTTCAAATATTTAAGCCATATTTTTTGAGGAGGTTAGCTGTATAAGCAGTTGTTGATTAAAAATCTCATTAAAGGCAGATGCAGATAAACACAAACACAATTAAAGCCTTTTAATGTGTGACTTGACTTGACAGGAAAGTTTGTTTCTACTTGTCTGTGTATTCATATTGAAATATCCTCTGTCTTTCAGGGTCTTCACATCATCTTCAATGTAGCACTGGCCCTGCTTAAGGTTAGTAATGTCTTTATTCACACTTTTATTTAAAACTGTCTGTAGAAATTAGCCCCGCTATCAAAGAAATTCTTATGTCAAAAATCTCATTTCTTCTAAACCCACCCAAATCGTCTTTCAGTTTTAGATCAGTTTGCTTCAGTATAAGAGGAAAAAAACACACACAATGTTTGCATGATAATACTGTATATACATTTTTGTATGTAAAAAAAAAAACTCATCTGGGTAGAATGTTATCAATAAGTGCAAACTTTTGGGGAAACACGATTGTGGAGAAGGGCCAAAGTGTGAGGACATACAACTACTGTAGGTCTAATGTGATAATTGGAGGTTTTACTGTCGGTTGATTGGCTGTTTCTGTCCCCTAGTGCTCCAATTTGAAACTGCATCTGGACATGAGGAGGTTGATCTGTCTTTTAATGCAGTATTAGACAAATGGATAAAGACTCATTATGTCAAATATCATGTTGAATGTAATGCATATGTGTCACATCAGCTGCTAGTTTGTATCACAGTGGCCACATTCTGATCAGAATAATCTGTGTGTGTGTTTATGTTATAGTGGATTTATTTTATGTGCTCTTACAGTTATAGGATATGTTTTGATTAGTATCCCGGTTATCTGTGTATTTACTGTACCTTCATTTTTCTGCAGGGTTTCCATATACTGTAGCTTCCCTCAGAGGCTGATAAAACAGTGTATCATTTCACACAAACCCGCAAAATGTAATTGTGCATGCGGTTTGATAAAGGCATATAGCACAAGCACACAAATGATCATTAGATAAACACAATAGGAAAACAAGGGATAAATAGAGTAAATATCATTTTACTTAAAACAAGAAATTAATGTGTGTAGCTTTAAAAACAAAAGACAAAATTAGACATGTTATAACAAACAAACTTAAAATGCAGTCGGCCTGTTTTTTAAGTGTAGTTAAAGAAAAAAAAACTGCTTGACTTTTTAAAATATTGTCAAACTGCTGCTGTTTCTATCACAGTAGAATGGTATAGAGTTGCTAACATGTAATCAGATCTCTTTGTGGTGGGATGGATCAATGAGTTTTGGTAATGATCATGTCATATTGCATATCGATGTCTAGTTGTTCACTGTGGACATTAATTTGATGGGACAGTCTTTGCAGAAGCCTTGCCAAAACCAAGAGAGCGCTCGCTGATGAAGAACAGGCTTGTTTATCCCCATTATGTCGTCAGTGTCTCAATACTGAAGCAGATCGTTAATCAATAACGCACAATGTCTCAGCATTTTTATTTACAGTCATTTCATTTTTCTTTAGTTTTTTTATGTAAAATTGTCACTTTTGTGAAACAGCATCAATACTTTTTAATGCACAACAAGTAAATGTGTTGATGACTGTTAATGACATGGAAAATGCATTTTAGGAAATTTTTAACTGATGTGTTTTTCTTGGTCCCCCAGAGGCTCATAGTCATCAATATATCCAGTCAGTCATTAGTTTATGTTTAATATTTCTGAGCTGTTCAGCTGCTTTGGGTTAGGCTTAACCACACTAATACAGCCTAACACAGGACTACATTAATAATAATAGTTCATGATTTTGCTTTCACACAGTAATGCAGCAGTTTCTTTCTAAATGAACCACACATGGTTTGGTTTTAAAAAGCCCACCTGCTCTATATTTTAGCAATAATGTATTCTGTGTGTCAGTGAGAGAAAGATGTGGTGGATGCTATGGTCCAGAATGGATAACAAATGAGGATGGGAGGAGGGTGGAAGGGGCTTTCACTGCCTGCCTCCCATTGGCCAGGTATGACGGCATTCTCCCCCGAGGCTCCCTCCTCCATCCCGTCTGCTCTTATCACCCCTCCCTCTAACTGTGTTCCCCTCCCTCCCTCTCCTGCCTAGCAGTCGCCATCCACATCAGAACAGGAGCGTAAGCTAGAGCATTAGCAATCTGGACCTGAAGGAGAAAAGCTCTGAGTTTTTGTTTTCTTATTTTTTTTTCTTCTTCATCTTTTCCTCTCATGGATGCCTACTTGGAGCTTATTTTCTCCCTCAGTTCCTCGTTATTTCTCTTCTTTACCTCTTTTTCCTTTACCCCCGCCTTCTTATCCTCTTCTCTATTGGCTGGCTATATATTTCTCCAACATGCTACCTCTGTCCACCACCCAGACCTCTGCAATGGAGCCGCCCCTGCTCACTGTTAGCAGTTATCTGTTATCATCGCAAAGGCAGACAGAGGGGTAGAGAAAGAGAGGAAAGCAGAGAGGGTGAAAAAGAGAAAAGCTTTGGACGGGAAAAGCTGTGTGGTTTCTTTGCCTCCCCACAGCCAGGGCCATCCCTCCTGATAGCACAAAACACACTCATGCAAACACAACCGTTTAACCTGTGTCGCTGAGAAGCAGAAGTGATTTCCAGCTCAAGGAGCTAGCTTACCATCTAAAGGATCAACCAAGCAGTAGAGGCCGGATACCTGGATGCTACTGATGGAAGTCTGAGGGAGGGACAGAGGCTGGAGTCCATGCTGAAGCTGCTGACTGGACTGTGCTTTCACTGTTCTGTGTGGCACGGAACTGGACAGAGTTCAAATAAAATTGTTATATCAGTGTAGAGGAACAGTGGAAACGCAGTGTTTTATGTTTTACTACCTCTTTCCACTCTTGGATAGCCGCCTTAAATCTGACTCATCAAGTTCAGCATACACTCAACCATAAACCATCGCAAACATGCTTTGTTCCCTGAAGGCAGAAAACTGCCATGATTCTGTGCCAACATCTCCTCTGGTTCTGCCATATCGTCACCACCGTCTACTCAGTTTCAGACTGGGGCTTGTCAGATAAAAGGATTCATGTGGTTATTTTGCTCCATTTTACATTTCAAAGAAAGATAGAATCCTGTCAGCTTCACACCAGGTGCAGCCTTGTGCATTAAGGCCACGCAGTTGTGCAGACTGAGGGGGGATTTTCTTTCTACGTTTGAAGTCTAACGAGAAGGAAAAATAAAAAAGGTGGAGTACTTATCTATCACTGCTGTTTGCTGGAGCAGCCCATGTGTCGAGTATTTCTGTTGCTAGGCAACCACGTATTGGACTGGAATCGGTTGGGGTAGTTTGGCAGGTGGAAGATGACACTGGGTAGTGTGACTGGATTTCAAAGCGAGTCTGGCAGATAGCTGGAAGACTCGGCATTATGCCAAAAGCAGTGTCAGTACAGTATTTCCTGACTGTTATTTTGTTGCACCCTGTGAACATTTCTGCGCTCTGACAGTGGTGCAAGCTCAGTGGCCTCCACCAACGTCTTGTCCAAATTCTGTTTCGCCCAGATGAACGTTGCATGCCTGGGGCACCTGGGCTCTGCCTGCTGAGGTGCTGTGTGTTCCTATAAGAAGCTCTCTGCTTCTTTCCTGGTGGTCTGAACAGTCTGTTGTAACACTGCTTTATGTGGCAATATCAGCCTCTCTTCTCAGAACACCTGCCACCTCGTTCACCAGGACTCAGCCAGTTTGGCTAGACATTGACCTCAAAAGAAATCTTGCCTCACCTAATTCAACCTCAGATTACCAAATTGTCTACTCCCAGTTAACCGCTCCTCCAACTCTCCAGCTAAGAAACCCACTGGAACATTTGGACGACACGCTGGAGTCATCTGCAACCCTGGCCCCGGAGCGGGATCGCCCCTCTCCCTTGCCCTGTCCCACCCCGCCTCCTTCTCCTCCACCCTCCCCTCTGCCTTCTCCTCCCCCTATGCCAGCCCTGGCACCTCATCTACCCCTTCCAGCAGTGCGAAGGGTGGTGGAGGATGAAGAAGGAAAGGCTGAAGAGAGGCCCTGCAGCAGTCAGGCCTCAGCAGACTCATTCTGCAAGGTGATGGGTGTCCTTGGGATGGGACACCGGCTCTTTGTCCCCAGACTGCTGGCGGTGAGAGAGGGAGTGGGAACTAGGAAACAAATGCTGGGTGAAAGAAAATGTGCATGTGTGGATGGTGGTGACGTGTGTAGATAAAGGAAAGAGCTCCTGCTGCTGCAGCTGAGGACAGAGGATGGAGAAGAAGCAGGCAGTCTCATAAAAGCAACCTCTGTCTTTTCACCTCTGAGACTGGCCACTGAAATACTTACGGTGTCTGTTGTGATGATGCTTTGATCCTCAACACTTGAAGTCCTCTAAAGTTGAAATATGCAAATTCTGCTCATGCCTGGAATTGCCTAAAATTTATTTAGAAGAAATGGCTTGCCTGCTAGATTTGTGATATAAGCCTTGTAATCTTGATTAATTAAATTCCTATGAAAAACTCTGGAGGAAGAAACTCTCAGAATTCAAATGTCTATTCAAAACAGGATACATAACCCCTTTGCTCCTCCGGCCATGTTGCTTAAAATGTGATGATAGTTGTTTCCAAAGTGTTTAGAATTAAAAATGAGCCCAAACATGGTCTAGTAAAGACCTGCCCTGTGAGTAACAGACCCTAATATTTGATCGCATATTCTGATAATATCTCTGGATAGTTTCTAGTGTCCTTGTGTTTGTACACCACAAGATGGTGGCATTGGTGTATTTTTGAGCACTTCTTGAACAACTCCGTGATCACCCTTCTCAACATTCACGCAGTTGACCGATGTGCGCTCAGAGTTGCCCAGTACAGTGTCTTGCTATCAGCTACTGTGCAGCTGAACGGCAGTAGTTAGAGGTTTTGTGTGTTGTTCAAATGCAGCTTCATTACTTATTGTTAGAAGATGGTAGCACTTTCGTTTAGTCAACTGGCATTCTTGTCAAAGGCTTGTTCTTTAACCTGTAGGCTGCCATGTCACTGCAGGATGGTAAATGCGTTTGTTAGTAGTTTTGGTTTGATTTTATGCTTTATGTATTTAACTGTACTCTTATTCATAGTGACTTACTATGAGTTAAAATTAGAATAAATCAAGTCTTTCAAGTGAGAGATAAATAATGCACCTTCAAAGGATGAGGCGTATTTGAAATTAGAGCTAAGAGGCATAATGGAAATCATTTCCTTGGTGAGCACAATTAGAGCAGAAAGATGGGATATGATTGAATAGGAAGATAGAAATGTGGGGAGCTTTCTCAATTTTCAGCCTCCAGTTATGGATAATAGAGGTGTATATAATAGTACAGCTGTCCTTATACAGTAAAACCACTATTGTTAACTAATGAGTAAAGTAGAATGTTACCTAAATAAGATATTAATTATTACTATTGTTTAATTCAGTTATGCAGGAAACAGGTTAGGTTTGGTCTAAAGTGATGAGTCTCCAATAAACGTGTTCATCTTTCACACAGCTACACTGTTTCATTTGCCATTGTTCTGCCCTCGAGCAGTTAAATGTGATATAACTGTGATTACAGAATTATAATGATAGCAATTGGTAATACCAGTCTATTGGAGGGTACCCTGTGCTCTTAATGTCCGACTCTTAATGTGTCCCTTGTTTGTCTGTCTCCCCTCTCCTCCCACCTCCTCATGCCTCGCTGCAGACATCTAAAGAAGACCTCTTGCAGGCAGACTTTGAAGGAGCTCTGAAGTTCTTCAGAGTCCAGCTCCCCAAACGCTACAGAGCTGCGGAGAATGCCCGAAGGCTCATGGAGCAGGCCTGCAACATCAAGGTGAGAAGCTCTTAACAAAACCCATGTATTTGCTAGCCTTAAGCCTAATGTTCCTGACTTTAAAACCAGGATCTAATGAAAAAGGCCAAAGTGTCCTCCCTTTGCAGAATGTCCTCTCTTTTGCCTTGTATAAACCCCACACTGCTGAATATATGTGCACAAATGCACAGGTGACTATGGGATTATTGTATGAGTCTGTGCAGCATAATAAGGAATTCCTTTCTTGTCATTTCCCACTGAGACACATTTAACCAGAGGGGTCAGAGGTCACTGTACCTCAGATGTAATGGCTAATGCTTTAGTCGTTTATTGGTATCCTTTATGATTTTTATAATTTTTCTGTTTGTGTATACACCATGCCCAGATGTGGGATTACTTGTGTGTTATCCATACTGCACTTTTTAACTGAGAGTCAAAGTATAGGTGAGACTGTGGCATCTTCTTCCTTTGCTTTTCGGGGACTTTCCATTGCTAAAAGTTGTACTTGTGTTTTTGTTTAAATTGTTTCTTTGTTTCCTCATGTGTGGAGATTATATCAGTGCTTGCTTATTCACTTTATTCCAAACAAGCCTGAAATGCAAACGACATCACTTTCTGTGCAGCAGGCAAGAGTTTGCTTTGAAGCACCAAATGGAAAAGCTTTTATCAGCCGAATATAATGTAGGTTGGATCTCTGCTATGTTGGGGAGGCCTGACAAAGAGGGGAGGGAAATGTCTCAGATAATTGTTGCACTCTTTAACATATAGTGTATTTATGTTGTCTGTTGTTACCCTTTGATATGTACCTTTTTTTGTGTGTAGCTGTGTCTATGCTCTGTGCATGGTTCTTCGTTGGTCTGGACTGAAATCTGAAGATAGCGTATAAAAAAATGACTTCTACGAACCATAGTCATAGTTTTCTTGAACCTCTGTGCCCACTAAAATTCACTGTCAAGCACACACACACATTATTATCCTCTTATTCATTTAATGAGGTGGCTGGTATTTAGGGAATTTGCTGAGATCACCAGAGCCGAAAAGCAGTACACAGTGTATGGCCTTTTGTGTGTGTGTGTGTGTGTGTGTGTGTTGTGACAGAGGAAGGAAAGAGCTGACAGAGAAAAGATAGAAGAGATAATCACCCTCCACCCTTCTCTTCCTCTCTCCCCTGCTTGCTCTCTGTTTATGTCTCTCTGTATCTACATACAGTTCACATTTTACATTTCAGGCATTTTATGACTTTCGTATCCAAGTGAGCAGGGTGTGATGTAGCGTCGTGGTTGAGGACATGTTGGCGCGACACTATAACTCCACACAGGATATCCTGCACTCACTGTTTAATCTTTGGTGGTTTGATATCATTTTGGTACTCTTTCACAATCCTGCAGCGTTGTGACATGTCATGTCAAGCTTTATCTTGTACAACAGTGCACACACCCTTCTGCAGTCTTAAATACACAAATTTGTCAGCTTTAACCACCATAATAGCTTTAGTGGAGCTTCTTCTGGAGGGAGCTGAGCTGTGTCTTTGTGTGTGTCAGAAAATGTTGCACTGCTTTTTGTAGGATGTGACCGACCAAAACACTACCTTAAACATTATACTGAGAAAAATAAAGCTGTTTCTTTGACTTCTTCTCTTCAGAGATATCTTTTTTCTGCCCTCATATTTTTAAACCAGTCACTTTAAAACAGACTATTCCCTGTGGATACAAGTATTTGGAGCAGGGAGGTTGAGACTAGTGAAAACAACTAAGAGGAAAAGGAGCATTGCTTTCCTTTTACTCCTCACTTGCCTCCATTTTTACCACTGACCATCCAGCCAAGCGAAACCAGCTCAGCCATAGATAACACCATGTCACATCAGCATGTGACACACCACACTGCACAGTGGCACTTTAAAACGCATATTCAGCCATAATACATCTACTGATATCAAATCGTGTCACAAACAAAAAATGCCTACCACATCATCTCACACCATACCTTCTTCGTGCATCACACCATATCATACCACATCCTGTTCATCCTTAACATAAAATGTCAGAAAATAGTAATGCCTTCAAGTTGTTTACTTTGTCCATGGTAAATCCAAAATTCAGGACACAGAAGGTTGAAGTTTGAATAGGAACTCGTGTGTGTCCCTCATCCATGTCCTCAGCTACACAAGGGTATGCATAAAGTGTGAATTGTCCTTTAGGGACTTCAAATTTATGACAAATTAATTAATTATCAAAATTCTGGTCAGCTTATTGATCGCTGTACTTAACTTGAAGTTCCTTAGTCAGCAGGTTTAACAGTTTTCAGGCTCCCTGTTAAACTTGGCTAGTAAAGGTGACTAACTAAAAGCAAGCTCAGGAGGTAAAATATATCCACAAAAGCAGGCACAGCTGAAAAATTCCACTTTTACAATGGCATTGGTGTTTTTAAAAAACATAAGCTTTATTGAAAATACACACAACAAACAAGGCAATGTAACATTTTGCCAATGTGGTGGGGGCACCGGTGGATGTCAGGCAACAGCCTGGATTTCATGCCCATTCAAGGAAATCCTTAAACTATCACGTAATAGTTTATATTGTTAGAAAAATGCCTCACGAGCGAGACTTTGCAGACTTGACAGTTTAAGAAAGTTGCTTCTGCATAGAAATACTAGAGCATACGTACACCTAATTTTTTTTTAGCTGTAGGTCACGTCTAAGATGAGAATTCACCGCCCTAACATTGTAGATAAGTTAAAAAAAAAAAAAAGGAAAACCATGACATGGCCCCTTTAACTTATTGTTTTCAGTTGGCATCTAAATCGGATCAGCGGAACGTTGTAAGCTGCTTAAAGCAGTGAAAGAATCTACTGGCACATTGGTTTAATGAACACAACGGGTAGTTGGGCAGCTTAGCTTTTCTGGGGATTTTGGGAAGAATTTGAATTTCTCAGCTTTCTTAAACATCCACCAGTTTGTAATGTTAAAAAATGTCATATGTTTATTTGCTGCTGAAAGTTTAACTGATTAATCCAGTTGTTACTAAATCCCTCCAAGAAAAACAAACTATAGGAGAGTGAGGGTAAACTAAGAAGAGAGAAGGATGGGTCTAGAGAGACTGAATAATTTATAGATGGAAACTTACATGGATGAACATCCAGAGGCTGCCAAGACACTTTCAAAAGCACCTGAGAGATCAGTTCACTGATGAGAGCAGTATATGGAAAAATGAATCAAACAGGGGGAACCATGTACAAATCCAGAGAGAGGTGTTTGCTCATGTTTATGTTATATAATTGATTCTTTATAGCTTACAGTCCTGTAAAGCCAAATTGTGATTTCACAACACTGAGAAAGTGAAGTTTAATAAACACAAATACACTTTGAAGTCAGATGTCAGGCTCAGTTATTTTGTTCTATTCCTGCTCAGTTTATTGTCCAAGAATCAGTTTTCTGTCACTCCTTTTATTTCCATATAATTATTTTTATATACAAAAATAATAAATGTAGCTCACTTACTGTATCACCTCCTGTTATTGCACAATTCACCCTAAAAACTTATCTGCATACAGGAAAGGACAAGAGAACTGCAATGAATGTATAACTGGTGCTGCAGAATGCATGAAATTAGATACAACAGGGCTTAGTGAATCTGTTTTGGAGTAGAGGATATAGGGCTAAAGATAAGATTTGTTTTCCCCTGCCACAGTGAGGCACATTTAGAGACAAATCTACCTTGTGATTCTTTTCTCAAAGAGACAGTTCTCCAAAAGGACCTCCATCATGGAGCCAGATAAGACTGGGAGAGAGTGAGACAGAGAGGTTGTCAGGTAGCTTTTTTTGGGGTGTGGGGGGGTCTTTTGGGAGAACACCAGAGTATTCAGGCATCATCAAAGACAGCCTTGAAGCTTTCACTTCACTTCCTGGGTTTTACCGTTGGAATGATGTGCAATTGTATGAGTGGCAAGTCACTGTGGTTGTACTGACAGCTTCCTTCCTATCTTTCTTAACACCAAACACCCTCACACACATGGTATAGATGTGTAAACAGGCCTTTATTTTTACCAGTTGCAGGAAACGGAAAAACCAAAACCACTAGACTGCAACCCATAGAGAGTTTAAAGAGGGAGGGAGGGCAAGCAAGAGAGGCGCACATGAGCGATGATAAGAGAGAGACGAGGCTAGTACTCACTCTGGAAAGGTTGAAAAAGCAAACTCATCCTCCTGCATCGCACAATTCTAGCATTACAGAGGAGAAGGAGAGAGACAAACAGGTGTGTTGTACTGCCCTCTCGCTCCCCCCACTCCTCCTCCTCCTTGTCTCAGTGGGTGGAGCTCAGCTCCTGAGAGGCTCTTGAAAGCAGAAGGGTGCCTCTTCCACTCAGAAAGAAACGGACCCTGTCAGCCGTACTGCTCTCTTCTCCTTCTCCACCACTCTTCCTCCTCCTTTTTCATCCTCCTCTCCTCCTTGCTGCTGAGAGCAAGCAGGAGTCAAGATGATGCAGGAGGTGTCCATCATGGTGGCGTACGACGCTCATGTAGTAGACCGACCGGGTGAGGAGGACACCCTAGCTCGCTTGGTCGCCCACTCCAGACCTCTCAGAGCCCTCAGACCAGTGGTAGGTCTGTTCTTCCATCATATGACTTATTTATTTCTTTCACCATCTTTGTTTTTCTGATGGGAGACCTTCCCAAATATTTCTACTCACTCTTATCTTTAGCGGTTTTCAGATAAGAAAACCTTAAAGAAGAATGAACCTGCTTTATTTTTTTATTTGATGTTGTTGTCAGTTGTTTTTGTAATGTTTTGTCTTTTTTTCTAGAAATCCCAGTGAATTTGTTCATAAACGTAGGTGGGAAATGTGTATGTTTCTTTCCATGCAGTATATGGTACAGTACAGTACATGTACATATACAGTACAGAAAGTATTTGTGGGTGTGTGTTCCTACTAAAAGTGTGTCTGATGTTAGAGGGCTTTGTCAGTCAGTTAAGACAGACCATTATATTGTGGCTTTCAGTTTGTTTCAGTTACTGATATAAATTTGGAATCTGTGGAGGTTGTACGTGTGAATGTGGTGGGTATGTGTTTCACTCACATGGGTAAATGAGTTTCATGGCCTAGTTTTTTCTGAGATGTCCAGTTTGCTTTGTCTTTATTTCAGTATCCAAACCTTGGGGCTGCCGCTTTGTGTGAGCATATGGTAGATCAGCCTTCTCCGA